TCTTTGGGTACCAGAGAATATATATTTTTAAAATTCTATGCCTTTTTTCTATGGCTGTTTTAATGTATATCTTGTATCAGTAGACTAGTATATACATATACAGCAGTGTATACATATATATGTATGTGTATATGATAAATGAATATACTGAGGGCATGCACAGAGAGTTTTGGCCATACAGTGTGTGCACAAAGGTTTGGAGACCACTGCCTAAATAGGGATGATTTGGCATGTCTCCAAACACTTCAAAAAAAAAAAAACTCTCTAAAGTGAAATACATGTTGTGTATTTTCTATTTATAAAATGAAAAATCAGTGCCACAAATCCTTCTGAGAGACTAGAAGGAAGTTACAAAATTGCAGGAGTAATCATACTGGGGCAAGCACCTCCAAGATGCTCTCCAAGTTCCTAGGCCTAGCTCTGGTTGGGCGATCTGGGGCACAAGCGCAGAAATTAAAGATAAACATACCTCAGTGTTTCCTGCACTGGCCATTTTTATATCTATAGGCAATGCTTTCCTAACGTAGATGGTATTTTTGTATTTGGAAGCTTCTACAATGATTACTTTAGAAAACCTCCCATATGCCTGACACATCTCTAACATGGCCATACCACGTGGGTGCTTGAAGCCCTCACATTTGTTGCTGTTTTCTTCTTTACTCCCACTCAGTTAAATTCTAACACCCTAAATGAATGACTCAATGTCTCGCTTTTCCAACCACCGACTCTAGAGAAACTGTCACCCTTGTCAGTGTTTGTGCTACCAGACATTCAGTGCCATGTCAATAATTGGGAAAAACATACGTTTACAATAAGCATGATCTGATCCCATGAATCTTATTACTGGAGGTAAAATCATTTTGAGAGCAATAAAACTGCAGTAGAGATCTCCCAGATATGTGAACTCTGTCTTTAGTCTTATTGGTGCAAAAAAATTAAATATAATTAAAAAGAAAAATTCAATCATTGGCCATGGCTAATAAGCCAAATGTGGAGTTTTGGGAGGATGGGGGTAAAAGGAAATTCAAAAGAGCACTCACTTCTATTCTGAATAACTATTGAAGGCGGGAGTCCCCAGATTGCTTTTTTAAAAAGGAAGATAATGGTATATATATATAGAACATTCAACTTTTCTAACCCTCCCATGAATAATTATATTATATTCTCTCAGTTAACTGTTTAGCCACCACTAATTAATGAGGCAATTCAAATCTGGATGTTATTTTTTTGTAAAGTCATGTGATAATTTTTGAAAGAAAGCACTGACGTAAATATTACTAATAAATTGAAAGTATTCTAGAGCCACAGAGTAAAAGCAAATAAAAATAAATATTTCCTGATATTATAGGGTAGGAGGATTGACATCATTTAGTAATTCTACTTTTTATAAAAAATACACATATGTATATACATACAGTTAATGAAATGTTTCAAGATATCTAAAGCTGTAATAAGGAACGATATTAATTTTTTTTCTTTTTTTTTTTTTGTTCCAGGGATCGAACTCGGGTCTTTGTGCTTGCAAGGCAGGTAACAGAACCACTGAGCTAAATCCCTGGCCCTGTGATTTTTAAAAAAATGTAAGATGTCCATCAAGATCATTGCTGAAATTATTTGTGTACAGAACTCCAAAGTCCTATATTAACCTTTCACTCCACATGATTTATTTCCCCACTAAAATATCAGGAGTTTGGTGCCAGCTAGACGACATCCATATGTTATTTTTTATTATTGAAATGTTCTTCATTTGTTCACAAATTAAACATCTTGGGGTTTAAAAAAATGGAAGAATTGCCTGAGTTGTTCTCTATTAATAGAAGTCAGCATCCTTTTATTGAAAAATGCACTCAACAACTGTTCTATGGACAGATGAGTACAGGAAAATCTGATTACACAGATCTTGTTCCTGTGAGGAAAAAAAATCCAGCCAATTCTTTCCATCGTAAGCTCAGATAGACTGGCCTTTCCATGCAGAAGTGGTGGCTTTCAGGGGTGAAAATGCAGGTCAGCTGGCCCAAAACTCATTTTGACAAAATTAACTTTTGGGGTGGTTAAAAGTCAGATAATGATGACAACAAAACCCATCACTTTCAAAATTCCAGTTCTGTTAAAACAAAGTTATTTTCTCATATAACATGAGACAGCTCCTCTTTCTTCCTTCTATGTCATTTAACACATATTCAACATGGATAATAATGGAAATTACTTGTGCTTGCATATCTTACACCAACTTTTCTCCTCTCTAGGTATGTTAAAGACAGAAACAAACACCAACAACAGCAATATGACTCTTTAGGATAAGACCTCTTCATCTAGGGCCTGTGAAACCCTCAAGGAATCCATGAGCAATTTCAGGTCTTTAAATCTGAATCTATATGTATAATTTTATACATTTGCATATATGCATTTTTTGGAAATAAAGTATAGGATTTTCATTAGATCATCAGTGCAATCCTTGACACACACACAAACACACACACACAATGAAAAACAACTGCTTTCTAGTGTGTGGCCCACTTTCTGAGCAAACTTCTTCCACACAGCCTTTAGGGAAGGAGATGATAAATGCTTTGTTTTTAGAGGAGGAGATGATAATGAGCTGGGAATTCTTCATGCGGAACTGATGAAGTTGGGCCTTCAGAGATGGGTATGATTTGGGCCAGTGGAGAAGGGGGTAGGCAGCATGAGCAGAGGCACAGAGGTGGAAGCCCTGAGGCACAGTTAGGCCCTGGCAACCAGTCCAACCACTGCACTGAAGAGCTCACACAGAGGAACCATGGGAGACAAGTGAATTAAGTGACGATAGCAGGCCCTAAGGAACCTGGCATTTCTATTCTGAGAAAGTGAGTTGTCTCATCAGGGCCAGAGAACTTTTTTTTTTTTTTTCAAAAGATTAATCCAGTGCTGATGGTTAGAATGGGTCAAAGAAGTGAACCAGCATATTAAAGAGGCTAGGGCAGGAGACTCAGCAAAAGAGGTTGCCCTAAAATCAGAGTGCCATGTCTGCTCTTTTTCCCTAGAATGCATCCCAGGACTAGTCCAGGGTAAATATTCAGTGAGTGAACAATTGGCATGGATTGTTTAAAAGCTAAGTAAGAATGAAGTGTTAATGATTTGGAAATCCACCTTGCTATTATTCACAGAGCCTAGCAGTACTGTGTACAAAAAAGACATCAAAGACCAGTTTCTTGAGTTGGCCTAGACCAAGCTGACTAAACGTGGGGGGTGGGGGGAGGGAAAGAGGATTCCAAGCACAGTCAGAGGCTGGGTATATGCTGATTCTGTGCACATGGAATGATTTCTCAGGAACATGAGTTTCATAAAGAAATCAAGCCCAGGTGGCATAATGAAAAGGATCCCCTATGGCAAGTTAGAAGATCTCAGTCTTGGGTCTCACCCTTCAAATACTTACACACATGACACTGAGCCAGTAACAGTCCCGAGGCTCTCTATTAAAGGGCTTTCTAGAGCTGATTTCAGGATGGCTATACACATCTGTGCTTCTATACTTTCTCCCAAACAACGCTAGGCAAGACCCATGAGCCTGAAATCCTTAGCAACTTCTTTTCTTTGAGTTTTATCCATTTCTGAAAAGCATATTCTAATACTTATGTATACATGGGAAGGCTCATGTGAGGACCCGACTGCAGTTGTGATGCAAGTCCAGTTGATTCTAAGTCTTCTGGTAGCCCCTCGTCTTGGCAGTGTCACTATTCACAATTAATTAAATGACAGTGAAATGGCAGTCTGACAGCATAGACTATTTCTGCTTAAATTTATCTTGCCCTTCTATCTATTTTGATGGGTAGCAAAGCACACAACTGCTGCTCACTAATCCTAATGAGTCAGGTGGTAGGTAGACATAGGGGGAGACTTTATTTTTATAATAAAATGTTAAACAAAAAGAACACATGATCCATGAATCTTCTGTTCAATCAAAAGATCATGTTTCCTTAAGTTGCTTTCCAATTAAAAAAAATATATAAAGCTTGAACAAGTAACCAAGACATTCCCTAATGTTTTCTTGGTTTTTGTGTCATATAAGTAGCACCTGTTCATCAAACCGGAGAACACTTCAAATCTGGTTAGCTTAAGAATGAATGAAACACACAAAAAGCCCTCCCAATAAAGACCCAAACCATGGTGATTTTTGTATTAGCTATTTTTTTTTCCTTAACCCATGTTGGGAACTTAAAACTGGGGCATATTATAACTACAAAATGCTGATTGCCCAGTCATAATATCCATTCATGTCCCTGAGGGATGTACCTGAATGAAATGAATTATCCTACAATTCACCTGGCACACTGGCTCTTCACATACTTTCCCTCCAAGTAATGCACAACTAAAAAAAAAAAAAACATATGCAACCTACATAATCATCGTTACAGTGAAAATCCACCACATTTAGTGCTATACAATACAAATACATTGTAGGCAGAATTTCAGACATTTCTTTCCAGTCAAAGGTGGAAAAGGGAAACTCAGTTCCATGAAGACAGGTCTACAGCTGTTCATTAAACTCACTTTCTTGGGCCAGGAGTTCCCCTAATGCCACAGAAATGCCTCTGCTGTCTTGGAAAATGCTTGCTAAAGAGAGGAGAGGCAAACAATCCTCCCAAATGATGCTGGAAACTATTCGTGCATATCTCCTCCACCCTATTCATGTAGGCATCAAATAGTCCCCTCAAATAGGTATGGTTTTAATAAAATATTAGCAACTAAATTTTCTTTATAAAATATTAGCAAGTAATTTTTCTGTAGAATAAGAATTTCTAACCTAGAATACTTCAGCATTCATTCACAGATGCAAGAGCTATATGCAAAAGGTTTTCTTTTTTTCAAGTACAGTACATCAGAAGCATCTGTCTTTTAAGAAATGCCTCTAAGCCAGATGTGGTGGCACATGACTATAATCCCAGCACTGAGTAGGCTGAGGCAGGAGGTGCGCTAGCATTCAAGGCCAGCCTGGTCTATGGAGTGAGTCAAAGGTCAGCCTGAACTATATAGTGAGACCCTGTCTCAAAAAAAACAAAAAGAAAAAGGAAAAGAAAGAAAATGCTTCTCACCAACAATAAATAATCCTTAATCAGAAGCAAAGTAATTTTTTTTTTTTTTTTTTTGCAGTTGCAAATCTTAATACTTGTTCTCCTGGCCTAAAGCCATAGCATCCATCATACAGGATCCTCACCCCATATTTCCTTAGAAAATTCCCTAAGTCAACAAAACTATCGTCAGAGATGAGAGTGCTTTCTTCAATGTGAATAACCAAAATAGTCCCTGTGCTCTGTGGAGAGCACGAAGGAGATCCTTAAGAAATACTGAGATCTGTTCTGAGCATTTCCCACCTCTCACTGGGCAGCAGCTGAAAACTCCAGAAAAGGTGCAGCACTAAAACTGCCTATCACTGCACAGAGTAACAGAGTATCACTGGTACAAGTAACATGATCCTCATTCTATTTCATCCTTTCAATATATCTTTGCAAGGCTTGCTTTCAAAAGAGACATTAAAAGTTGGCAAGCTTGTGCCTACAAAAAATCAATCAAATGCTTCCCCCTTCACCTCTATAACCCTCTCCCCCATATTCCTGAGCTTTACTCTTTCCAAATAAATCAAGCATAATGCTCTGGAGGCAACAAAGAACAACATTCTGGTGTGAGTTCAGGCTACAAAAGAAACATTTTCTGTAAAAATACTGTAGTGCTGACAACCATTTTAAGCCAATGATGATTTATAAAAATATTTCCAACGTTCTTTCAATGAAAGATTCTGATTCAAACAAGCTCACAAAGGGGATTGATGACAAAGTCCTAATGGTGGCCTTGTGTGTGCATCATCTGCTCAGCTTTTGCAAGTGACTGTGGTCATTGTTGCCTGAATATAGAATTCCTTTTCCTTCAGATCTTCACACAAATGAAGCACAATAAAGAATAAAATGTTGTGTTCATGTCACAATGCTTCCAAGAGGTTGAAAGCGCCATAGGAATGTTACTGCATGAATCCCCACAACGCCCCTGTGAGGTAGGTAGGTGGAGAGTATTGTCACCCCCCCTTAACAGGTGGGAGAAATGAGGCACGCAATAGTTAAGGGACTTGCCCAAAATCACATAGCTAGTCACTGGCAAAGCTTAGAATAAAACTTAAACTGATTAGCACCCAGCACAGTGCTTTGTACACAGTAGGTGTTCACTGAGTATCTATGGATTTTTATTTGACTTATGTTTAACATACAATATACATACATAGAGTACAAGTGGCTACCATAGGACATTTATCTCCTACATGTTTTCTGATAGCTCTCATACTTCATATCCAGGAGGATGAAGGACATTCAAGAATCTAACTCATACCTAAGCCCTCGGTTGAGGATGATCAATATAAACACTATCAGCTGACAAACTGCTCATTTACCTGCTCTACCACACAATGTTAGTTTTCAATGAAAACAAAAATGGACTTCAGGAACCATGCTGACTTTGTTGGAGGGGTGGAGGCTGTTTAAATGGAGCCATCTGAATGGTTCTGTGTTCTGTTTGTACAAAAAGAAGACGGCCACAGTCCAGTTAGCATACAGGCCATGCCCCAAGATCTCCTCCCAGTGCAGACGGATTTCTACCTGGGAAACTGGACCAACCCCAGGGAGTGGCAGCTCCAAAAGTAGAGGGTCAGTGAGGGTGGACGTCACTTGCACTGTTCATGGTCTGTGTAGTCATCCATGTCCACATCAGAATCAAAGAGTGAGTGTCCAGTGAAGTCTGTGTCTGGGGTTCTGGAAAAACTATTCTCTGCTCCTTCATCTTCAAAGGTCTCTGTCCTTGAGTAAAAGCTGAAATCTAGCAGGGGGGTGTGGGTTTTGCTGCCTTCGCTGCTCTCCTCAGATTCATAGATGGTGTTGTCGTCATCGTGGTGCCACTCAGGCCAGAATTTCCTCCTTATCCTCTCACAGTACATGGCAAGGTTGATCAGCTCACCTGCATGTGGTAGCAGAATAGGAGAAGACAGGGTTATTTTCAAAGTCAACCACCTAACAGTGTGTCGGGATGTCTCTGTCCCACCAAAATCCAACGTTGAAGCCTTAACCTGGTGAAGCTATTGGGATGTAAGGCCCCCAGGAAGTGAGTAGATTCAGAAGACAAAACCCTCAGGACTGGGATTAGTGCTTTATAAAGGAGGATCCAGAGAATTGCCAGCCCCTGCCACCCTGTGAGGGTGCCATGAGAAGCCCTCAGGGTCTAAGCCCTGGGACACAGGCCCTCACCAGACACAGAATCTGCTCACTCCACGATCTTCAAACACTGGAGGAATCAAATTTTGTTGCTTACAAGCCACCTAGTGTGTGGTATGTGAAGTAAGACATCCAGCCACTGGGCTTCCTGGGCAGTGTGGGAGAAATGGGCAAAGAAGACATTAGCAGTGTTTTCTCACAGATAAACTGTCAAAATATTTAGGTTTTTATGCACCTAATAAGAAAAGCCAGTTAGAAAAGTTCAATTCAGTAAGAAAGTGGGCTGAATGAAATTAGAGTGACTCCTACGGTAATGAGATGTGGAGGGGTAGTTTATCCAAAATGGCAGATAAATTACCATCGTTTGGCTTTGTGAAGCATTTTATGTTTGCATATCAAGAGAACTAATGATTTGATTGGTTCGTGTTTAAATTAATTTATAAAATACACCAACTGTTTGTTGCATTAAATCAGGCAAAAGTAATCATTCATTGCACAACTTTTTGTAATTTTACTATAGGCTGAGTGCTATGCCAAACTAGAAAAAATTATGTTAGGATAAAAACTTTTCCCTAAATAATGCATAAAATGGATAACTCAGAATTGTCTTTACAGGTAAGTATGTCTGCAAATACATTTAGTAAAAATAAAATAATTTAATTTTTAAATAAAATTAAACAACTGTGCCAACAAATGGGTTTCTGGTCAATCCCAGGACTACTTCTTTTCCATGTGAATTAATGGGACATTGTGTGAAGTCACTTACATTGTCTAGGCATTTATCAAACATCCCATGGCATTTAGACTTCATTTCCTTATTCCAAATGAAAAATAAAGAAAAAATGTGAGTTTTTGCCTTTGATCCACCAGATGGCAACATTGTTTATAAAATACATAATTTGGCACTCTTAGAGGACATTATTTGCCCAAAATGTTCTTTGCATACTTTTAAGTCATATAAGTATTCACTTAATGTGTAGGTGATTCACATTTTATTGCAGAAAACTAGGAAATACAGTTAAGTAAAGAATAAGAAGAGAACCAAGACCTGTCATGTAAAGGTACAAGATCCCAATGATGAATGTAACTGTACTGTATACCTAAAATGTACCAATAAACTCAATGAGAAAAAAAAGAATAAAAGAATTACCAATAATCCCATTCTTCATAATAACATTTTCATTTATATTTTCCAGGAATTTATATTTCAAATAATTTATATTTATTTATATTTGCTACATAGGATCTACTATACCATCTGTTTTCTGTCCTACTTTTTCTACTTAACAATATACAATAAATATTCAAATTTCATACTATGAGAACCACGATAATTTCACAGTATTTTGTTATATGGATGACCATAATTTCATTTTGTTTTTACAAATCCCCTATAACATGTTATTTTAGCTGTTTCTTTTTTATTTTTGGTACCAGGGATTGAACTTGGGACCTTGCACTTTTGAGGCAGACAGCAGAACCACTGAACTAAATCCGCAGCCCCAAGCTGTTTCTTTATTAATAGCTCTGTTTACTATAGTCTGTAAATACTATTTTTCTATTAAAGAAAATAAGATATTTTCCTTTTGAAAAATTAGAAGTCTGTGTCAAAAGTATATAAATACACAAAGAAGGAAAAAAATCTGTTTTCATTAACCCAAGATAATCACAATTAAAATTTGGATTAATTTATTTCAGTATTATTTTCTATTTATTTATTGCTATTATTAACTATTATCTCCTGCAATGTTATTTTAAACATTTCCCTCTGTCATTAAAATTTTCAAAATATGATTCCTGTTTTCCTTAAATGAGCATATTCCTGCCACTATCACAAAATAAATCCAACTACTTCATGGGTCCTGTAGACCAATGGACATATACTGGTTCTAGCTCACTGTTTGTCTTCGATCACAACAGTGTAATTCATTCCATGTAAGAAATCATCCTGAGCGAAGCATGACAGTGCACACCTGTAATCCCACACCTGGGAGGCCGAGGCAGAAGGAATGCCACGAGTTTGAGGCCACCCTGCACTACCTACTGAATTCAAGCCTAGCCTGAACTAGCTAGTGAGACCCTGTCTCAAAAAGATAAACAAAAACATCCATTCTCATTGCTTGTTACTAGAAGATATTTACATATGCTCAGAAGGCAAAAGCTAAGAAGCCAACAGCTTTGCTCTTTCAGGGAACCTTTACTTATTTTCTCCCTCAAAGTACAGTCATGCAACACCACCCTGGGTACTGCTGCCAGTCACAGGTAACCAATCAAAATCCTTCCCCAGATGCTGTTCCCAAGGAACCACTAGAAAATCAGAATCTATCATGGCTCTATGACATTAATACCAGGATGCAATAATAAAAATTAATCATTGCATTGCTATACAGCTATCCAGTCCTTACTGTGCACCAGGCACTGTTTAAAGAGCTTTATTCATCTGCTGCATTTCATATTTACTTCGGTGGTCCTCATGCCCCTAGCCAGGATTTTCCTGTCTCTCCACTGATGATGAACAGCTGCGCCTGACAATTAACCTTGTATTACTTGTCCCAGACTATGTCTCTGCACTTTTTCCTGGGATCTCGAGAACTGAGCCACCCTTAATGGCAATGAGCCGTCATGATACGAAGTGAGCATTTTGCCACACAGCTAAGAAGTGTGGGTCTTGATGAGAAGGCCTCCTCCCCCAACCCTGCCGCTGAAAAAAGAGTGAATCAGCGCAAAGCTAGAGGTGGACTCTGCCTTTCTCTGGCTTTTCCAAGTCCTTCCTGGCCCAGGGTCCCCATCAGCTGACCTGTCAACATGATAACAGCCAGAAGAGTAGAAAAGGGCAGGAGCAGGAACCGGTGGTGCGACATATGTGCTATTTGCCCATAGTAACACAAGTACCTACACTGAAGATGTGAACTTTGTGAAATAACAGAAAAGCTGCATTTCTTCAAAGTGAATTAAACAAACAGATAACTTCAACCTCTAGACCTTTGAGGGTGAACCTTTCAGATATCAAGTGCCCAAACCCTCTTATTTATCACAAAGTGCCAACACTGCAGTTAAATCGAAATACTGAGGTTTTAGTTTAGAAAAAACAACTATTAACCGATGTTCAGCTGCTGGGATGACTTGGCTCACGTGCTGACAAAGGGCTCTGGGTGCCTGCTACGGCACGCATGCCATCACTGCCACCACTGCAAGTCTAAACTGCTAGGAATTACAGTCTGATGACATCCACAGTGCTGGTGCCGATGAGAGGTCAAGCACGGCTCTGCAGGGCCCGTGAAAGACCGCTGCTATAAGCTTTTTTAGAAAATAGCTTGTTACCCAGCAAAATTTTATATGTACATAGGTTGACTCAGTATTCCTCTTTTAGTACTCTATTTACTAAAACAAAAGCTAAAACTAAAGTATCAGTATTCAAAGATATATGCAGAATTACGTGTCAGCACAAAAGAAAAATAAGGAAAAAGGGAAGGAAGGAGAGACAGAGCGAAGGAAGAAAGGAGGAAGAGGGGATGAAAGAGAAGGAATGAAAAAACAGGAAACAAGACAAGAAGTGAAGACAGAAACAGCCCCAATGTCCAAAAATAGGGATTGACTGAATAAATTATCCATTCTGTAGAAAACAGTGCAGCTGTTAAAAAGATGTGATGCTCTGTTAAGGGAAAAGTGCAAGTTATAGGGTAATATGTATAGTATGATTCTATTGTTTAGTTTAAATAAATAGTAAAAAACAAACCACAACACACACACATATATAAATAAGTTTGTACACAAAAAAAGGCATGGAGAAATCCTCCATATTGATTGTCCACAGAGGGCAGGATGTTGGACATGGATAAAGGGAAGATCATAACATTGCTTAACCCTTTGTGGTATGATTCAACTTGAGACCATCACGTTTTACTTCATTAACTTGAAAATGCAATAAAATAAATTAGTAAAAAAATAAAATGATATTCTCAGACAGTTCAAGAAGATATTTATCAAAAAGCTGATCATTCCTCTACCCAGTGGGAAATCCTAGACAGAACAAAGAGTCTTCCTCTTGGAGCTTCTCAAATGGAAAATATTTCTTTTTAAAAAATGACGAGCGTTGCTAAACATGGTACCACACACTTGTAATCCCAGCACTGGGGAGGCAGAGGCAGGGGAATAGCTCCAAGTTCAAGGCCAGCCTGAACTATAGAATGAGAACCTGTTCTCTGTAGATGATTGTCATTTATTTTTATTCTTCTCAAACATTCTATCTTTTCTAAATTTTCTCCACTATACAAGTAATATTTCATATTTATATCTATGTCTAGACAGATATACACATGCTATATTAACAATTGCTGAACATTCAAAGTCTGTCTTCCTACTCATCTAAATTAAAGAAAATTTCTTACTATTTCAGACAACTCCAGAAGTAGCTTTGTAAGTAAAAGCTAGGATAAAAATCTAATATTCCTTCTTATACCAATATATGTGACAAGGCCAGCAGAGCCCTGTCTTGATCCAAGGTATGCACACTTCTGGTTTTCAGGCAGTTCTAAACCACTCATGTTCTCAGTTGTTTCCTCTGATTCCTTGTCTCAGTTTCTTGGGAAAGTCTCCACCATAGAGTAAGCAAAAGCAGGGAAAGAAGTTGAGACCAAATTAGTGGTTTGGCTGCATGTTAGCAGCTCAGACTGAAAGGTTTAGAAAGCATTATAGAGCTGATGCCTAGAATGATACTTAGACTCTGCAGACTTCATTTTTTCATGCTGCACCAATCCCAAGGGAGAACTGGAAGTCACTGGCACTTCTTTAAGAGTTAAAATACATGTGCCAGGTTGCTGGCACCTGCCTGTAATGCCAGCACTCTGGGAGGCTGAGGCAGAAGATTCACAAGTTAGCAACTAATCAAGAACCCATCTCCCAATAAAAGTTAAAAAAGGGAGGCTGCAGATGTAGCTTCAACCATGCACCAAACTCCCCCAAATAAGAAGGTGTCAGATTCCACAGGTGTATCTCGGGGTAGAATCCAAAATGAGTCCTCTAAAAAGGCTGATCATTTCTCTAAAGAAAATGCTAAATTTCTCAAGTCCTTTCAGGAAGCAAGACAGAAAGTAGCTAAATCATAAATACATTAACAAAATATGCTTCGTTTTGAATGAAGAGATCCTATATAATCTGAGAGTTCTACTGATAATAGATCCCTAAGTGCTACTAAGAAAAAGACTACCTCACTGGAGGTATAGGTGTGCAAGTAAATATCTGTAAGGGTTGTGTGTGCTCAGCACTATGTTAGTAAACATGAGTAGTGTGTACATGAGTGTGCAAGGGTGGTTGGGGGGGTGAAGGGAAGTGGAATAATAGAAAGAAATAGTGTATACAAAATAGTCCTAAATAAACTAAAAAAAATCAGTATCTTTTAGACTGTCAATTCAGATTTTCTGATTCAGAAAATAATTTTAAATGCTATAAACATCATCAGTATGATAACAATCAATTTAGAAAAATTTCAATGAATCACAAAACAAGGACTTAATGAAGTGCCTGATCCATTCCAGCCAAGTTTGCTAATATATCTGACGCCCCCAGACCCACAGAAAAGGGGATCTGAAGAGTAAGTGTGCTGCCCAGGACAGGGTCTGAACTCCAGAGCGGGGGCCTCCCCCACCCACTGCCCACTAACAAACGACCACCTGTCTTGCTGAGTTCCATGCATCCATCCATTCATCCATCCACCCACCCAACATTATTAATAGTATTCCATGTGCCTTTCTACTGGTGATCTCGTTTATATCCCAACCTGCTCTGTTGAGCATCAACTCTAATTAACTCTTGCCAATCACCTTCCAAAAACATACAAGTTGAACTTTGATCCTCACATCCATAGCCTCAGACACTTGCTTAGATGCTGCTTTAAACTGAAGAAGACATCAAACAGTTCCCCTCTTTGATAGTCCCAACTGCTATGTGTACCACCCCACCGCACCCTAATACACACATACACACAAATTTATATGCACAAAAGGAAACAGTCCCAGGACATGAACCCAAGGTGCACTGACTTTCCCTACCATTTTGCCACCATGAATTTTATTCCTGGCTATCATGCTTACCCTACCCCATGCTCATTGCCTCGCTCTGGTCTATTTACCTTCACTTTTTACCTTGTTCCCAATAGAACTGTTATTCTAGTAGCCCTTACAGCCAAGATCTCTCAAAAAAATACATTGTGTTTCTGTGCATATGTAATAATACAGTATTACTAATAATTCCTTGACATCAGACTTAGCATTTGTTGAATTTTCCCACAATATTGACTTTCCAGTTCTACTATTCTCAGTAATGATCCAAAGCTTCCCTTCCCCACTGGAGTAGCAGAAAGAGTTGAAATTCAAGTGATACAATCAAATAAAAACAACATGTGAAATATCTAAGACCAGTTCAGACTCAAAAGGAGCAGTGAGTTTATCGGTTCCACCTCACCCTGGTTGCCACAGCAACTGGATACACTAGAATGTGGTGAGCACTATTGCTCAAAGGATAACCAACAAAACAAGGGTACTGAATGGCATTCAAGCCCTGTTTCACAACAGTAATCAAGTCCCACTAACTAAGGAGCTGGCAGAGAACTGATCCTGGCCCCAGACACTACAGTCTTTGAGCACAGCCAAGCTCAAAGCAACAGCCTAGAATTCTACCCGCTGTTTCCCCTGGCCACCCACCCTAGCAACTCCTAAAAGCTAGAGAGGTTTGTAGGGCTTGCCTTTGATCAGCCGTTCAGGTCTTGTCCCTGGTAAGGTCCACATTGCCTGTGCCAAGTGTCCAAAGACAGTGGCATCGAGAGTAGAAAGTTTGGGCCCCATGATGTACTTCTTATCACCTGCAGCAGACAAAACAGAGAGATCACTGGGCTGACCCACACTGTCTCATGTGATCACAACAGCATTCAGCATACTTGTTTTATATGCTCATTGAACTGTGCAACAAAAATTCACAGAGTCAGAATGCATGCATGACTTTTTTCTTAAAAAAAAAAAACAAATTTAAAGACAATTAAACAATTCTGTGATATATCAACCTATAGGTAGCAAAACAGGGAACACATCCAGATAAGCATTATGAGAGAAGGTATTCATGGAAAAAGAGAGAAACGCTTACCAATTGACTCACAGGGAGCTTTATTGTCTTGAACTGTAGTAATTAAAGCTTGTGACACTTGAGAATTGCCTAGAAGTTGCTTAAGCCACCTCAAAAGTAACACAAACCAAGCACCCTCAGCTTTAGTGCTTACATGACTACATTAATACATACCCCGAAGCAAAACAAGAAGCCTAGACTGTCTCAGAAGTTTGGAGGATAGGTTTTCCATGGAATTTCCATGATCTTGGCAAGTTCTCAAAACTGAGGGCCGACTTGCTTGGAAAGCACTAAGAGAAGCCATGAGATCACAGGCCCAGCTCTAGCATGAGGCCCCCATATGAAGCTATTTCACCCATCTCTCCATTTCTACCACTATGGACTTAGTTCAGGCCTTGTCACCTGGACTATAACACCCAACTAATTAAAATTTTTCCGAAGTGTCTCCTGAGCTGCTCTCTAGGGTGGTGTGTAGAAGCACAAATGAAATTCAATCTACCTAAGTCGCATCCTGGCACCACTGTTCCTCATCTGGCCATTACCTAGCCTCTGAAAGTATCAGTTTTCCAATTAGGAAATGACAATGACATCGAAAGTACCTATTCCTTGGCACTGTGGTGAAACAAAACACATATACAGACAAAGCACTCAGCACCATATCCAGCTAGTTCAGGAAACAACAGCTCTCAAGATGACAGCCCTCGCCTTTCTCCAGTCCATTCCACATCCAACCTGAACACTTTCATCATGCCACTTCCTTTCATACACATTCTCAATCGCTTATGAAATGAGTTACAAAATAAAGTCCAAACTCAATTTGGAAGGTGAGACTTCATATACTCTGCTTCCCACCCACGTTCCAGCTTTATCTCTCACCCCTCCCTTACTCTAGCAAACCCGGGGAACAGCTGCCACTCTGTGCTTCCCACTGCTACACCTTTGCTCCCCAGTCCCCCAGCCTATGTGTGCTCTCCACCACCCTCTATCTGGTCAGTTCTTCAAGCTTAGCCACAGTCTCCTTTCAAAGCTTTCTGTCTACTCTGGCTGTGGGCAAAAAGAGCTTGCAGTTCGTTAAGTCCTGAGTTCAAATTTCATTTCTGTGCATAAAACAGAACTCCTGGATGTATAATACATGTTAACTTCCTGACTATGAAAAAGAGGGATTCACTAATTGTTGAGAAGAATAACTGAGATGACTTGAGTGGAACACAAAGAATATATCCTATCTCTTCTTCTCAAACCTCTTATGTAGCTTTTTTCCAATATTATACTATACATGTTTGCTTTTTTTTTTTGTAAGTTTTATCTTTCTAGCTAAATGGCAAACTCTTTGAAAGTAAGAGTCATGTCATATTTTTATTAACAAACTTTCATAACAAACTTTCAACATGGTTGGCATGGTTCTACATATTGTGCTCTAGAACTATCCACCTATTCTTGAGCAGCAAGCTGACATAGTTAGAAAACTGAGACGGGCAGGCAAACTGCAGAGATGGGAACATAACTCAATAACAGATGCAGCTGAAAGATGCTTTAAAAAGCATTTCTACTATACATTTCATAGGAATACCCTGTGCTAGGATAATTTGCTGAATATAACTAAAGTGTCTTTTCTGGTGAGGACGAGGAAGTCATTCACATTAGAGCCCTCTGGTATTTCCTAGGTCAATCAACTTCATCATTTGAATCTTGCCCCAGGATTTAAGCCTATATGGGAAAATATTACTTGGGCAAAAACAACACCAAAAATTACTAAGTGTTATTTGTTGTCAAGACCATCAGCTTGACAATGGTGCGTCTTGTTGGCTCTATGTCTTAGCCATTCCCCTGGTGGCATTAAGCAAATTAGGTGGGCAGAAAGACACCTCCCAGTAGCTCTCAGGCCATTCTGCTAGAGCAGGAGAGGTACACCCTTGGAGCATTATTGTGGGTTACCATACCCATGCCATACTTTCCTAATGAAATTATGTACTTTAGCATAATGGTAGCCAGGTATGCATCTCCGGAGAAATACAGAAAGCCCACTTGGTATGATGAACAGCAAGGTGTGTACACCTGTGAAAAAGTGTCAAATTGAGATTTTTACCTGCATAAATGGCTCATGTAGCATTTCTTGTGTATGTATCCCTGGGCATCACAGGGGTAAAATACATCCATACTAGTCTTCTGTACTACAAACATCTAATTTTCTATAATGGAATCCAGGTATGGTTCCCAGGAACTGTGCCTGGGGAAAACTCATCTGAATTTTCATCCACTGGCCAGACAAACAACAAGATGTGTACAAGAGCTCCAGAGCAGTAACAGGTGAGTTTTATCTGTGAAACGTTCATTGTTGAATTTCTTGCATTTAGAATTTTATTTTTTAAGTTTTCTTTTGATTTGTCTTGTAGAAGTGGCCTAATTCAGTGCAATGGTGCACAAAAACTTTGATCGCTATAGCTTTAGGTAGTATATGCCAAAAGGGCCTTCAAAATACAGTATAGAAATATATGCCCTGCTAGATTTGGAGACACATACTTTGAATTTAGAAATTTACTCTGGAACTCAGCCACTAGGTCTTTATGATTATAGTAATGAACCAAATGTTGTGAACAGATCTGTTGCTCCCATCTCCCAAACTAATCAGCATGTGACATTCGACAATTAGTTTACCAGTTTCTGACTGATGCTACGTTTGCTAACAGAGCACAAGTTGACCAGTATAGGAACTGTATGCAACAACAAAGCAGAAATTCCCAATAAAATGTTGCCAATTCATAACAAAGAATTGTAAGGTACAACCTTTAGATTTTTTAGAAAGTTATAACCCTGGCCTTATACACAGCAAAGAAAAATAAACTGGTAATGCTAATGTCAACATTGTGCCATGACGGAAAAACTAACCAAAAAAGCTTGAAAAATCTGAAACCTCAGATGTTAACTTTTTGAAAAAAAAAAAAAAAGTGGAGTAGATGTTCTTGATGAATTATGCAGCAACTATGAAGTCACTCAAAACACAAAGTATTGGTCAATGGTTGTGTTTTACTCAATCCTAAACATGTGGCATGAACAGTTTGGTAGTTTACAAAGAAAATAACGAGTGAAAAAATATGGGGAAATTTTCTTAGTGGATTGGGACTGGGATTCATAAGAGATCATTTACAGCAGAGAAAGAACAAAATATTTCTGCTCAGGGAATTATGCAAAAAAAAAAAAAAACTGTGGAGCACACTGGTGAGCTCACAGAACAAAGTGATACAACATCACAAAGACCTACTATGACAACAGGAAAACCAAAAAGTTATAACCTGTGCCCTTTGGAAAAAAAAAAAAGAAAAGGAAAACAAAACACATGTGACATCAGTGAAAGCAATTCTTGTACACAAAACATGTAGATTGCCTTAAATGTAACAACTAAAGCAGAGATTATTTCTGTGGTAGACTTTTGTTTGTATTTATATTGTAGTAGGTATTTATTTCTGTAGTAGGTTTTGTAAGCAAGTACACAGGTGATATGAAAATGTTGATGTTTATCCTAAACATGAAATACATATTAAGAATTTAATACTTTATTTTATTGATATTTTATGTTCCTGTTATTATACACATTGTATAATAAGAACTTCCTGACAAAACAGCAAGATGTCAAGTGTGTCCTACAGAAAAGACAGTAAAGCTAAGCACATGTGCTGCCAGTGTAAGCAATAGTGTTAGTATAGAATGTGCTGTTGTCATGTGTAATGGCTGCCTTATGAATGATAACTGAAAGACTATTCTTTCTGTAGAAAGCTATTGATATTTTCATTGAGCTCATCTAATAATTTGTTTGTTGTTCTTTTTTAGACTTTATACATCAAAAAAGTCATTGTTGAAAATTTTGATGCTTTTTAATAAACAATAAATATTAAAAATTCAATACTTTTCAAATTTCCCTGTTAAGTACTCACTGTTTGATATAATAAAACTCATAAAATTAAAATTAATAATTCATCAATAGAAATATTTATAAAGAATAGACGTGGGTTTTGTACATCCATCAGTATGCTCCTTTAACACAAAATCGCCATGATGCTCCGACTATGGACTGTGTCAGGGCTCCACTGATTCATGACCTAAACCCAGGTCAACTCATAAAATCGAAGCCATAACAGGGATTTTCAGCAATTTTGAGCAGCTTTATAGCCACTGGTTCAGAGAGGAGAAAACACGGTTTTAAAAAAGAACAACAGTGGATTTCTGATCAAAAAGTAAGTTTAAAAAAAAAAAAAACAACTGTTGATCTCCTTGAATTGCTAAGAAAAAGTGTTCTGAGGAAAATGCCAGAATAATCTAAACAAAGTAAGTTTAAAAAAAAAAAAAACAACTGTTGATCTCCTTGAATTGCTAAGAAAAAGTGTTCTGAGGGAAATGCCAGAATATGAATTGTAAAGTCTGCTGTAGAAGCCAAAGACTTTGGGTGCAAGATGAAAAAACAGAAATGGATAAAATATTTGGAAAACTTTTTAGAAGGGCACATAAGACCTTGGCAAATTTTTTTAAAATAATAAAATATACAATCACTTGAACCCATAATCAACTAGTGTATATAGATAACTGAGTTAGTTAGTAATAGGCCCACAATAAGAATGCTGGTGCCAGATCTGCTGACCTCTGGCCCAGTGTTCTTTGGTCTCCACCACATGCCACACACATCATCACCTCAGAGGCAAAGACCCCATGGAACAGCGGGAAGGTTGGCTATAAAAGTTTGCAGAAGGATGC